AAATAATTACCAACCTCTTCCGAATCACATTTCATCCATTTTTCCTTCACCTAGTTTCTGTCTCTGTCTCTGTCTGTCTTTGTCTCTGTCTCTCTCCCTAATTTTATTTTTTTGTTAAGACCAGTCTTCCTAGGTTGCCCAGGCTTAAATTTGCAATTCTCCTGCCTCAGCCTCCTACTGCTGAAATTACAGGCATGTGCCATCGCACTCAGCTTCCGGGGTGTTTTAAAGCAAATCCTGAACATCTCACTAGTTCAGCAGTCTTGTGCAAACATCTATTCATTTATCACATTGTATTAAAATTGTTACATGGCAGTTTCTCCTACTGGATACCTGTCTTCCAAAACAGGGTGGCTCCTTTATGGCTTTAACGAACAGTAGATCCATCAATGTGCAATTAAAGGAAAGGATTTCTCCCGCCATAGACTGAGATCTTAATCCATACAATGCATAGTGCCTCAGGCATTAAATACATATTCAGCCAAAGACTCATTTATTTAGGACTGACTGTGGGCTGCCTTATCAGTATGGTGGTTGTGAAGTACAGCAGTTAACCCCAAGGAGTCTGCTCCATTAGAAGCCCAGCTCTTGCAGCACTTATTGCCACTGGGTGTGGTAACTCTATTTTCCAAAGATGATGTAATATCTATCACCTGTTGCACACCTCCTAGGATGAGGAACTTTATAGTTGCTGGTCTCTCCCCTTGAATCTGAGTGGACTTGTGACTGCAGAGGAAGTGACATGGTTGTAGAAGTGAGGTTTAAAAAGCCAATGCAATTTCCTGTTGGCTGGTTCTTTGTCACTGGAGCTTGGTCCTGCCACATCAGCACCCGCCCCCACCCAGACTGCCATGCTGTGAGGAAGCCCAATGGACAACTGGAAAGGGCCTAAGACTAAGGAAGAGATGCCTGGCTGTCCCAGGCCATATCAGCTCCACTGGTGCTCAGTCCCCATTCTTTTTTATTTTAAAGAGAAAAGAAAACAAAATAACAAAGATAAAAACAACTCAAAAACAATAAAAACAATACCCACTCTTTTAACCCAACTGACTACAACTGCGTGAAAAGACCCCGGCAAGCGTGACCTGCCCAGCCAAGCCCTTCCAGAAGGCCCAATACCCTGAAACTATGTTTTGCCATAAGATACTGGAACACTGGGAAAGTTTTTAAAACGTTTTGTGCCATAATTTCCACACTGTTAAAACTGCCCTGAGTACCAACACCACACTGGCTTTTTACAAAGTATTAAATAAGAGCATACGTCTGGCACATTGTAGCACCCGGTAAATGTTACCAGTTATCATTTGAGAAAGACGCTGTTCAGAAATCCTGACCAACCCAAGAAGATATTTGTAAATTCCCATTTGCCAGGTATGCTGATGCATTTTGGGGCAGGTGTGTTCTCTAAATGAAAGATCATCTCCAAGGTTGCTAAGAATTTTATTTTTTCAATGGCCGGGGAGGAAACCAAATTTTAAAAATTGCTTAGGGTGTAATTTTCATGGTGCGTACACCTTGGCACCTCTGACTTTGCTTCCACTCCCCTCCAGTAAAACATGCTTCAGAAAGCAGAAACAATAAGGTCTTGTGATCATTTGCTTTTGTTCTCAGGCACAAGTAAATTGACTGGAAGGGAAAGTTTCTCACAAACTTGATCTCCGAGGGGAACCTGAATATAACCAAGCACACTTTTTCTTTTTCATAAAAACATGGGATTTTACACTCACTTAGTGAAGTTCACAGAGCTTTTCAGCAGCAATGTCTGAGAATGGCAGTTTGCCAAAAGGGTAAAATGGTAATGGAGCTTACCAAAGGATGTGTCACTCTTTATAATGATCCAAGTGACTAAGAGTTGACTTAACCTGTAAGTTGACTTAGTTAGGGATATTGGAACAATAAAAGAAAGCATGATTTTTTTTTTCCTTGTCCTACTGCCCAGGGTCAGTGGTTTTTACTTGGCAGTCACTTTCATAATGCTTCAGCTGGAGCTGATTTAGCTCTGCAGGGGAATCCACACAGCAGGAATAAATAGAAGGGCAAGATAAGGCAGCAAGGCTGGGGTGCAGCTCACTGGTAGAGCCCTTGTTTAGCATGTGCAAGGCCCTGGGTTTCATCGCCAGTACCACCAGGGAAGAAATGAAAAGATAATGTATACATCTCTACTTGGCACCAAATTAGACACTAGAGATTCATACGACAATCTCTGATCACTAATGCTGCACATGCCTGTTCTTGAAAATTAGTCACTGCTGCAACCTACTGCTAAGTCATCTCTAAACTAGGAGCTGGGAAACTCTGGGTGCCTTTTCTGGATTGTGAGGCTGAAGGGAACTTCAAAAAGGTATCCCTGGACCACAGGACCACCTTTAAAACTGAGCAAGTTTACCATCTGTTCAGTTTTTCCCTTAAAAGCACTCCCGTTGCAATGCCTGCATGGAAATTAGAGCTCAGGTTCTTAACAGCTATTCCTTAGAAGACTGTCAACCTTTCCTTGAGGTAATTAAACGCTCTCAATCTTTTTGAGGACTTCAAAGACAACAAACCTAAGACTTTAGTAGGAAAGCTGAGCTGAGGGGAGCGCTGTTTCAAGTTAGTTTTTTTAGGGTAACAAAAACTGTAAAATCAAGCATATTAGGATTTTCCCCTCTCCAAAAGATATTATTCTCATCCTCTTCTGACTAAATACTACTTGAATTACCCACTAATACTTACCTTACGATGGGAGTCAAACTTTTATACTAACCCCCCCAATTTATAGTATCTTATTTAAAAATTTTTCCCCCTGAACAGTGTGTGTGCTGGTGGAGAGCCATGCTGAGAACTAAAGGGGAACAGAACCCAAAGATAGCCGGTAGACATTTTCACAAAGGACACAGGACCAGGCAGACGGCCCAGAGACAGTGGAGAAGGACCGAAGTTCTTCTCGACACTTAATGCTTTCGTGAACCATGATGGTTCTGACTTATGAACCCAAGGTAGGTCATGATTTTATGTATTTCTGAATGAAAATTTTCAGTTTCAAAATGTAAACAGAACCATTTCATGGTAGAATGTACAGTATGGGAGAATTCTGGGGTGGGAAAGATTACTTATTACCAACTCTTAAGAAAGATCAGGAAAAAACATAGGCTTATTATTTATTTGGTGTATTTACAGTGGAAGACACAGTTAAACAAATCACACTGACACCAATGTTAATTTTAAAGCACACATCAGTGACTCATCTGTACACATACTTCATGCTTGACAATGGCAGTGTTAACATTTGAGACCTTTATCATATTCCCACTGTATCAAAGCCTCTTAGAATTCAAAGGGACCTTAAAGATCTTTGTCTAGTTTTCAAATTGCAGTTTACATCCTATTAGTAGGTCACAAAATCAGTTTAGCAAGTTACAATGAGGGAAATCGTTTTAACAAAACACAAAGGATACAAACATAAGTATACAGAATGATTTCATAAAACTTTATATATTTACACATACAACATATATATATATATATATACATACATACATATACACACACACACACTCATATATACTGCATCATGGAAAATGTATTAGTAAATTCTGAAAAAAATTTTCTGACAACACAGACCTTTCCAATAGATGCATGAGTTATCTCCTTCAGCCTCTGTATCAAAAGTAGTAACACAGACAACCCTGGCTGCGCATAAACTTTGGGCCAGGCACTGCTCCAAGCTTTTCTCGTGTATTACTCTATATCGTTCTCATAACAAGCCTGTGAAACAGGTCTTACCATCATTTACTTCTTATATGTGAAAAAACTGAGAAAAAAAGAGAGCGAGTAACTTAAATGAAGTCCTACTCAGCAGAGGTGGGATCTGATTCCCAATAGTCAACTCCAAAGTCACATTCCCAAAGCCCGTATGTGAAAAGCTGCTATATAATAGCAACTCGTGTCCTCCCAAGGGAGTCTATTCCAGCACGAGTTAGCAGCACCAGTTGTAGAACGCAAATACCATATCTCAATCCAATTCCTTTTTACATATGCATGTATGTATGCATGTATGTATGTACAGTGTGTGGTACTGGGGATTGAACACATTGAGCAACATCCTCAAATTTTATTTTTTACTTTGAGACAGGATCTTGCTAAAACACCAAGTTGCCCAGACTGAATTTCCACTTTTGATCCTCCTGCCTCAGTCTCCTAGGGCGCAGGGATTGCAGACATGTACTGCTATTCCCGGCTTCTCAGGCTGATCCTCTCTGCTATACCTCAGGTAACTGTTCTTAGTGACAGCTGTTTTGTGGAGCTTAAATGAAACATGCTGAAAATAGTTAAAAGATATATACAAGTACATTTGAAAGAGAACATACTTATTTACATCACTGTTTCCTTTTTACAATTCTACTTTTTAAATAGAAAAAATGTCTAAGAGATCAGGTAGTTTTAAATTATTAACATATTTTAGCAAAGAAAAATCTCACTCTATGATTTTTATTTACATTAATTTTTAAGAGTTTTAGACAGCTCTTTTGAAACTGGACAATGTAACTGAGAGGTCTTCTTCAGACAGTGGCTCATTCTTCAGAATTCTTATTAAAAATTTATGCTTATAATAAGATTCTTACATTTCTACCCTTTCAAAATATAAACCTGCTTCATAAATGATCCACATTCTGATTGTAGGCAGAATCTATTTGACACTTTCTGATGGTAAACAAAAATATTCTGACACCTAATCAAACTGCTTTGACTACAACTTTCTGGAGGTTTTTCAACATCAGGCACACGTCTGGGTATGCTGCAGCGTGCGCATTCTGATCACACTGAATTTATAAGGATGGATTATCCCCACTCGGGCCAACTCTGTAGGAGACTCAGAAGGGATTCAGAACTTCACTGGGGCAGAGACAGGTGCATTCTGCCCTCTTTGTCCAGTCATGCTTGGGATGCTTAATTTCCCTCTCCCACTGTACACACAAATCACTTATGAAATTATTCAGTATTCATAAAATGACTTTCTGACATACCTTCACGCTGCACTGACAGGTTTCAAATATTTATTAGTGAAATTACAAGAGGCTGATTTTCATAATATTTTAAGCATAACTTCCTCTCAATAGTTGGTATAACATTCGTTCAAAAATAGAAAAGATTTACTTTCCATCATGACCAAAGCACAGGACACAATGCAACACCGCTAAAGCTCTGCCTGCTCCTCTGGAAGAACAGCCAAGGGCCGGCCTTGAACATCACGCAGCAGCAATAGAGGTGTCATCTGCCAGTCGGCCCTGTGGCTTTAAAGCAGGAAAAGCAAAACAGGATTACAAACGAAGTGATGACCAGAAAAGCTCCATTAATTAAAGACTCTGAAATTCCTAAAACTGTTTTACGCACACAGAACAAATGTGCACAAGCATCCAAGCAGCAACTGTTACTCCCTTTATTACCCCGCCCTCTTCGCAGACAGTGCTAGCTGACTGCATATTTCCCTCACTGGCTCCCCTGCAGCCCAGGCTTCCGCCGCTGCTCCGTGTCCCAGCCGCTCCTGCCAGTCATCACCGAGGCAAGCAGATGGAACCTGCTTACCACTCCTGCCTGAGACACTTATTCTCTCTCTTGGTCAGGGGCCTCCTATGTCTCAAGCCTTGAGCAGGGCAAAAACCTAAGACAAGTTCCTTTGGGAGATTCTGCATTTTCCAATCCGTTTGAGAAAAACATCATTTGCAATCACTTCTAGAGTACCCGGCAGTACATCCTGCAAGGATAGAAGCAGCAGAAAAAAAAAATCTTCCTCTCCTTACAGCTGCTGGCTACACAAAATTTAAACCATCACATCCGAAAAGTTAATGTTAAAATGTTTCAGGACTTTTTAGGGGACTGATGGAACTGTCTTGGGCTCTAATGTTTCTGATACATTAACCACATCCCAGAGAGCTACCTTGTAGCCAAGAGAATACTTGCAGGTAACTGTATGGTAAGATATGCAACAGGCCTGCACAGAGAAAAGGATGAGAACGAGGGACCAGGAAATGCAATGGAACACTGTTGCTTCACAGTCGAAAGCCAGCCGAGGTGGCGGCACACGCCTGTAATCCCAGTGCTTGGCTGGCCGAGGTAGGACTGTCATGGGTTCAAGGCCAGCCTGGGTGACATAGTGGGTTCAAAGCCATCCTGAACTATATAGCAAGATCCTGTCTCAAGAAGGAAGAGGAGGGGGAAGGGGGAGAAAGAGGAGGAAGAAAAAAGCCACCTGCTATGCTTCAGACAGAATGACTCCCAAGAATTCCTCGAGGCAGTGAATATGTGTACACATGTGTGCATGTGTGTATGTGCAGATGACAGCGAAGAAATGTACTATATGTGCATGTGTGTACATGCAGATGACAGCGAATAAATGTACGTATGTGTGCATGTGTGTACATGCAGATGACAGCCAATAAATGTACATATGTGTGCATGTGTGTATGTGCAGATGACAGCGAATATATGTACAGGTGTGCATGTGTGTACGTGCAGATGACAGCAAATAAATGTACTATATGTGCATGTGTGTAACGTGATGACAGCAAATATATGTACATGTGTGCATGTATGTGCAGATGACACGTACACACAACTCTCAATACTCACAGTGGAAAGGGAATAAGCAGGGGAATAGGTGACCTTCATTACTGACGGATGTTACTCAGTTTTAGAAACAAAATAATGGCTCCCTCGGTGAAAGCCTTGCCAAACACAGGTTTACAGGCAAGGGCAAAAATGAGTACCTCACTGAGCTACAAAACTGAATTATTCAAAGGAAAAAAATATCGATCTAAAACTTGCTTGAGGACAGTGATGGCAAACCTTTTAGAGCCTTCAATGGTACAAACAGCTTGCTGAGGCATGCGTGCCATAGGTTCGCCACCACCGCTCTTGGATAACTGTCTAATAGGGCAGCCACTCACCACACTTAGTTACTGCCCACTCGAACTGTGGCCAGTGCAACCAAGCCATTTTTAAATTTAGTTCAAAAGCAACTAATTTTAATTTCAATCTTAAGAGTGGCTAGAGACTAGTATATTGGACAGAACAATGTCACTGTTGTATAGAAGTGTTCTGGGATGGATAAAGGTTGGTTAATGAGTGTTTAATAAGAAAGGGTAATCTTCAGTCCCTGCAGTGTGATCTTTAAATTGATAAAACATTTATTTATTTATTTTTATACACCCTGTTTTGCAATATGTACACATTGTAGAATGGCAAAAGAATTTTTAAAAGTTTTTCCAAGTTATAAAAAGCAGCTGGCTCTGAGGAATCCAGTACATACTTCTGGTAGCAGTAAAGTTACTAGGAGGTGGAGCTGTATTTAGAGATCATGTAAATATGAAAAGAGATGTATACAGGATCATGTAAATATAGAAAATATACGTTACCTATGCTAAAACTTATGAGCGTTTATTTTCTGGTACCTTTCCTTATGAATTTAAACATTACCCAAAAGAGGCTTACCCTGAGAGAAAATCAAAACACTGAAATGGCATGCATTAATTGGGATTCAATTGGGGAGGGCTGTGTAATTCAAAGAATGAAAGAGAATAAATGATGGAACCAAAATCTCTAATCCTCAGTGTGATTAATTCTACCATCTCAAGCTATCTCTGTGCAGCTAGAATATAATCAAGACTGTGTAATGATTAATAGCTCCACAGTGATTAAACTCGTACTTCTGAAATGAGGAAAAGCAAACTTCAAAAGTCAGCAGCCTAAAGGAATTAGAGACCACGCTCTCCCTGCCTCTCTCCCACCTGGCCAGCGGGCCCTGCTCCTGCAGAGGGACGTCCCTGTAAGAGGGAAGAAGCAATGGATGTGTCTTTACAATGTGATCAGGTCAGTGTTTAAAATGCTACTGCGGAAATTTAAGCACATCCAAAATTGAGATTTTTCTTTCACAATTTAAAAGCGTGTGTGACAGGAGCTTGGAAGGATTAATAAAACATTTTTGGTAGATCAACTGTGTAAGTTTGGAAAAGATAAAAAGGAAGAGGGTGGCAAATACATCAGCACAGAGTAATTTTTAATTTACAAAATCCTGGATTATACTAATAAGAAAAGTTCCCTAAAATTCGAATAAGACACAAAAAAGGAAGCAGTCTGAAAAGGGTTATTTAAAAAAAAGGCACATGGGATTCCCATAGTCATAAACAGAGTTACAGAGGAAAATCCGAGCCCTCTGGAGGGACAGCCCTCATGTTAGGCATCTGGAAGTGACTTAATCAGAGATGCGTGAGAAGCTCAGGTAAACATCTGTCCTGTACCTGACTAGGACCATGCTACATATTCTTTCACTGCAGGACCCTAGAAATTGTAGAATTCTTCAGAAATCAAAACATTAAGCTAGAATAGTTTCTGACCATCATCTTCAGAAGACTGAAACTCAGTATTAAAAAGTTAACCCATTTGATTAAAAACTAGTTACATTCTATAATTCTTTTTCTTTTTTGGTGGTTGGGGAGGGGGTGATACTGAGGATTGAACCCAGGACCTTTGCACTGAGCTACAGCCTCAGCCCTTTTTTATTTTCTCTTTTGAGACAGGGTCTCAGTTTCAAGGTGGGCTTGAAATTACAATCTTCCTGCCTCAGCCTCACAGAGTGCTGGGATTACTCCCACCACAGCCAGCTCAAAATGTCTACAACTTTAAAACATGTATTATTACACTAAAAAGAAAGCATGTTCAAGCACACCATAAGGATAAACCATTAATTCTCTATGGGAATAAAAATCTTTGAAATAAGTCTATAAAATAATAGCAACTTTATAGAAATGAATAGCAATATTATTAAGTTTATATAATAAAAGTCAAACTATCACTGCTAGTCTCAAAATACGGTTCAATGAAGTTTACATAAAAAATGCCTTTCTGTATGCTTTTAAGACAGTGAATTTAAAAAGCTGAAAATTTCTAAACCTTACCTTCACAAAAATACTGGTGGGTATAAAACGTCTAAGCAGCTGATTTGTGAAGTTAGGAAACCTAAGCAAGTTGATGTTGAGAGATGGCAGTGGCTGGTATCCGGCCATTAGAGGATAGAAGTTATACAACATTTCTTGTTCGGTGCCAGGTAGAATACGCAACCGAATCTGTTCATAAAAGTTACAGAGACAGAGAATCAAATACAAATACTTGCAGTACACACAAGCTGCTACCCTTCAATCATTTACAAATGACAGACCCCCAAATCCTTCACTTCCATCCTCCAGGCAGAATTAGAGCTGAATTAGTATAAGGCTAGGACAAGGCAGACAGGAAATGGAAAAAAGATATACGCATGATTTCTCAGTTTCTACCAAGATCTAAAAGGCAACTTATCCCAGCTTAACAATCAGAGCACCAGGGGCTGGGGATACAGCTCAGTGCCACAGCACAGCACCTGCCTGGCAAGCATGAGGTCATAAGTTCGACTCCCAGTACCAAAAAAAAAAAAAAAAAAAAAAAGAACGAGAACACCATTCAGGTTACTATTTTCTGTGTTTTAGACCAGGTAGATCTCATGCTCGAAATATGTTAGAAAACCATTTGTAGATAACATGTCAACATAATACAAAGTATTTGCTTCTAGTACTTTCTTTTAGGAATTTTATGGTTCTGTTGAGGTAAATAACTACAGGGGTAAAAGCCTGTTTGAAAAATCTTTAACAAAACTTTAGGAAAGCCAGGTATGGTGGCGCATGCCTGTAAGCAATACTCAGGAGGCTGAGGCAAGAGGATGATTGAGAGTTTGAGACCAGCCTGAGTTACAAAGTGAGCTTAAGGCCAGCCTGAAATACACAGGGAGACCCTGCCTCAAAAAGGATCCGCCCCAAAAAAAATTTTTAGGAAAGGATATAAACTTTTAAGATTTTGGTATCTTTATATTTCCTATTTTTATGTAAATACCTGCAAAGATCACAACACTCAAAAAAGCTATGCATTTGATAAGAAATGAGTATAGATATGCACATGGTGTATCAGGAATAATATAGATGTGGCAAGATTCTATAGCTGGTAGGATTTAATAAATGCCATGAATTTAAAATAGTATGTGGAGGGGCTGGGGATTTAGCTCAGTGGCACAGCACCTGCCTGGCAAGTGCAAGGTCCTGAGTTCAATTCCTAGTACCAGAAAAAAAACAAAAAGAAGAAAAATAAATAAATAAAATAGTATGTGGATACAGAACATAATTCATATGTAAGTCTACTTTGTACTTAACAATAAGCAGCAGTCAATGTAAGCAGAGAACCGCTGGTTAGTCAGGGTAGATACTTCTAGGTGTTAAGACATGCTTGTTCCTGTAATTACAATTATCCTCTTATTAACAATAAGCATCAACTGACAACTGAGGGTGACTCTCACTGGAGTAGGGCTTTGCCTGAGTGTTACGTTTATGCATCTCAAACCTTGATAATCTTTTCCACTTAATTTGACTGAATATACAAAAGAGAAAACTGGATAATTTCTTTTTATACGTAACAAAATTGCAATTTACCAAACAAGTAAACTGTAAGACCAAAATTTCCAAATTGTATCTAAATGCACCAAACAAGTAAATTCCAGGTAAGATCAAACTAACTATAGACAGTTCAGAAGAAAAATAGGTTTTTAATGTTGCTATATTCAAGTCTCTCTGCCTTAAATCAACACACACACACACATACACACCAGTAAGTAAGAGGGAGATTTTTTTTTTTTTTTTTTTTTTTTTTGGTTTTTCTCCGGTACCGGGAACCGAACTCACGACCTTGCACTTGCCAGGCAGGCGCTTTTGCCGCTGAGCTAAATCCCCAGCCCCCTTAAGTTTTTCAACAATTCTGACAATATAGTTCAAAGATCTGTGTTTAAAAACTTTTTGTTTCATATGAAGAAAGAACCTGTCTGATTCTGATGTGGGAAAAGGGTAAACCACACCTCTATCAGATGTTGAACTTAAACCTGTAAAAGTGCTTAAAAATTCACTACTCTCAAATATAAATACACCATTACCAAACAGTAGGACCCACAGTTGGCCTTAATCAATTTATTTATAAAAACTAACTGTGCAGCTCTCCATTTTCTAAGCACACTTTTGTGTCTACAGGAGCAACAGCAGGAAGGATGGCCTGTACCTGTTTGAGGCCTGAGAACATGAACGCATCACTGGGCTCCACAGAAATTTCCACATCCTGAACTAAGTTAGTCTTGTTCTGTAGGTGATACTTGACAGGTAACGATTCTCTGACGCGTCCGAATGAGGGCAGATCTGTAATAAGAAGATGACACATTTCTCTGCGTTAAAAAATAGGATTGTTTATGGTTTTTTGGATGCATGATATCACTATTTTCTTGCCAAGTACGAAAAACTTTTGACTGGGTAAGAGCTACAGGACAATGATGAAACAGATTAAGAAAGTAAGTCTTCTAAAAATGATTCACTTAGGGTTTACAATTTTTAAAAAAATCTACACTTTCTCCCTAGTCTTGTTTGCTACACTGGAACATGTAAAGATTTTATGTTAGCCAAACTATAAACTTTCATTTATCTGTCCATTTATATATACATGTTGTTTGTGAGTGTGTTTTACAGTTCTGCTGTTTCACTTTTCCTAGGATATGAAAACATGCAATGTGTCATGGATATGTGTGTTATTCTTTGTGTAAGAGCCATGGTGAATTTTCTCCGTGTCTTCCCAACGTTAGTATATCTGCTGCTGAAGCAAATACTGTATACTGTTTTTATTCTAGACATGAGGGTAACCAAGCAGTTGATAAAGGGAAGTTTCCAGTAAAGAAAGAAGGCCTGACACACAGGTATTGATAACGCACTTCCTGTTGGGAGCACATACCATTAACTACGATCTATTCTTGCCAAAATCTTGCCAGAGAAACATTTAAAAATATATCATGCAAACATCAGGCTGTGGGAAGCTCTACTGGACAAACAATTTGGTTTCTTCAACAAATAGACAAGAAGCAACAGGGGAAAGGGATGAAGGAGAAAAACATAGAAGTGGTAGAGAAAGTAATATGGGAAAAGAGGAGGGTAAACAATGGAAGGAAGTAGAGGGCATTTGATATTAAGAATTTATTGCTAACTTTTAAGGTCATGATATTGATGTTATAATTATGTTGGCAAAAAGCCATTATTTTTTTTTTTTGGTTTTTTTCTCCGGTACCGGGAACCGAACTCACGACCTTGCGCATGCCAGGCAGGCGCTTTTGCCGCTGAGCTAAATCCCCAGCCCCTAAAAAGCCATTATTTTTAAAGAGACAAACTGAAATATTTATGGACAAAATGACATCTGTTATTTGTTTCAAAATAGGCTGGGCATGGTGGCGCACGCCTTCCTAGCACTCGGGAGGCTGAGGCAGGAGGATCGTTGCGAGTTCGAGGCCAGCCAGGGCTACAAAGTGAGCTCAAGGCCAGCCTGAACTGCATAGCAAGACCTTGTCTCAAAAAGACCAAAAAAAAAAAAAAAATAGTAATACTAGGGTTGAGAGAAGCATGCAGAGATGGAGACTAAACAAATGGAACAACACTGGCCATAAAACTCATAAATGTTAGAAACTTTTCACAGTACAAATGTTAACTAAACTCTTAGAAGCTATAATGTGTATTATTCCTGAGTCTTTTTTATCAGGTAAAACTGGAATTCCTGCTACCTGCATTCACATGAAGAGGGATATTTTCTACAATCACGTGTGGCAGCGTGATGACAGTACTGATGACAGGGATGTTTTCCATGGCTGAAGTCCTATGGCAAAAAAGGTCATCTTGTAAACTTACATTTTATGTACAAAGTTAACAGATCAAGTACAGGAAATACCTATGTTCACCATCTAGTTTCAAAGGATATACAAATTATCCATCCTCAAAACTTCATTAACGGAAGTAGTTTTGTAAAGTGAGAACTTTTACAATCCCAGTTTTGTTTTAAATATCCCTATGAACAAATGTAACAACTTAGGGCTGTGGTCTGCTGCCAGCAAGGAAAGCCAGGAGCTGCATCAGACTGTCAATCACAAAGCATGTCATTTAACTCAGTCTTTTGGTAGTGGGATTGGTCTGGGAAGGAAGTACTGCGGAGATCACATTATTACACAAACTATCTCACTGAGGAGGCTTCACTAATGGGCCTCAGACCCCTTCAAAGGGCACTGCTCCACCTACAAGCAAGCACACAATGGAAACTAAAGAATTAAAACAGATTGTACTGTCATAAAAAAGACTGGTATTCTCCCATATACTGAAATACAGTAACATCTTGAAACTGTTCAATATTAATATTCAGGGTGAAACTAAGGGGTAGCTGGCATCTACCTAATTCCTTATGAGAAGTCTCCACCTAGCGGGGGAAGAGCCGACATTACGTGCATACCACCACAGAACAGAAGTAGCTCTAGGCAAAGCCTCTAAGCCCTCATCAACCATAAATAAATATATCTCCATAGTGTTACAGTAGCAATAAATAGTTCCTTTGAAATGCTGCTTTAACTCATAAGCATATACATGAAACTAAACATCAGTATAGTAACTTTAGAAGTAGGGGAAAGAAAAGTTGGAGTAGTTTGTTTTAATTTCTTAATTAATTTACATATTTTTCCATTCTCAGTTTTAAAAAATTCAATTTTACATTCTAATAGTTACCACAGACAGCTCAAATGAATAAAAGTTCTTCAGAGTTCTCAATGATTTTTCAAAATGTACAGGTGTCCTGAGGCCACAAGGTCTGAGAGCTGCTAACTTACAGCTTCCGTTTTATCTCTGACCTTGTCGGGCCTTAGCAGCAGAGTTCTTCATTAAAAGAGCCACTAGAGAACAAGCCTCCTTGCTCCCCGTTTTCCATACAATTTATAACATGAGGATAATAAGGACAATGTAATGTAATTATATCTACTAAACACTTTTTGAGGGCTTAAAAGGGAACTTTCTGAAATTCAAAGTTTCTGATTTTTTTAGGCTTAAAACTATGTTTCAGTTAATCTGCGTAATTCATAACCTTTCAGTGAGGGCCACTTCATTCCGACCTTCTTCTCATTACTCTGAACTGTATGAAACACTTCCTTACGACTCCTATCTTGATACCTTTCTTGTTGAGTAATATATTTTATTCTATTTAAAACTTTTGAAAATAATTGAGCCATACCAAAAGAGTAACACATGCAATACTTACCTCTCAGTTTAAGAAAGAGAATATTATAATGGCTCCTCCTGCTGGCATTCCTGCACCCTCTCCACCAGACGTAATCACTATCCTGAATGTGGAATCTATCGTTCCCTCTCATCCCGTCACACTTTTCCAAATTATGTATGCAGTCTCAAGAAATATACAGTATGTCTTACATGTTCTTCAATGTTTTACAAATGCAATTTATTTCTATTTTCATCTGTAGCTTGCCTTGTTCATTTTACATTAAGATGTTGGCAGCTATACTCGTAGTTCATACATTCTCACTGATAAACAGTATTACAACATATGAATGTGCCACAACTTGTGTACTTTTTCGAGGACAGGCATGTAGCTTTTCTCCTTCCTTTCTTTGCCATTGTAATCAGTGCTACTATAAACACGCATACCCTCTGTGTATATGTTTGAATCCTCTTCTAGGTCAGCAGGGTTATAGGCATCCTCCACTTTACCCAGCACTGCCTAAAGTATTTCCAAGTTGATTGTTCTAATTTATATTTCACATTTTTTATAAACTTGGTATAGTTGAACCTTTTCCTTTTTCCACACTAGCGGGATATGAATCTCAAGTGTGACTCTGTCATTCTCCAGTTACTAATGAGTCTCCCTGTGTTTACTGGTAACCTCTACTTAAGCTGCTACTTAGGTATTTTGTTCAACTTTCTGACAAGTGATTTGTCTTCATGATTTTTAGCTCTTGATATGAATATTAATCTTATTCATTTAAACACGTTGCAAATATCTTTTCCCATTTTATATTTTGGCTTTATGATATTTTTTGGTTTGTTTGTTTTTGGTGCTGGGAATCAAACTCAGGGCCTTGTCAGGCAGACACTGTGCTGCTGAGCCACATCCCCAGCCCTATGGTATTTTTTAGTGGACTAAAAATCTTAACTTTAATAAATCAAATTAATCAATTTTAGAGATTTGTAGTTTTTGTACCTTATGTTGTCCCTATTCCAGAGTCATAAAGCAACTATCTTATATTTTATACTAAAAATAAAAAGGCTTTACTTTTTATAATGAATCTTTACATATACCTGGAATTAATTTTTTTATATGATATGTAGTAGAGAGCCAGTTTTTTCACTAATGGATAGCCAACTGCTCACAAGTGATAAAACAATTTATCCTTTTTCTACTGATCAAAAATACTACTTCTCTGAAATATCACTTCAATGTACATGTGGATCTACAGATCTATTTCTAGATTCTCTTTTGTCTTCATTTACCTATTATGGAGCCAACACGGGGTTGACTACTACAGCTCTACAGTAAGTCTTTGGCTCTAAAAGAGCAAATACCATTGCCTTTTTTTTTTTCCTGGACTGTCTTGGCTATTTTTGATTTTGGACCTTTCCATATGAACTTCAGAAATGAGTGTCGTTACACAAAAAGGAAAAAAATCTATTAAAATAATAAAACAATTGCATTAAACTTATAACTTTAAAAATTATTTCTTATACAAACAAGACCATCGTGTTTTTTTCCCATCCATTTAAGTCTTTCTTTAATATTTTACAGTTTTCTCCTTAAAGGCAATGCAAATCTCCTTTCAGGTATATTCTTAGGTATCTCAAAACTGCGGTTGGTATGTAAATAATACCAGTTTTCAAAGTACACTGCCTAGGGGCTTATTTCTTTTCTTTTTTTTCTGAAATCAGCAATCGAACTCAGTACCTTGTGCTTTCCAGGTAGGCACCATGCTGCTGAGCTATATTCTCAGCACTGGGGCTTATTTCTGATATAGAGAAATGCAGCTGATTTTTGTATACTGATATGCCATCTGCTATCCACCAACTGTGCCAAAACTCTTCATTCCCCTGGGTCTCTTGTATAGACGATCTTGCTGAATAGAAACAGCTCTGCCTCATGTTCGTCAACAGTCCAATCTTGAGTCCAGCTAAATTTCATGTAAGTCCCCAGCTGTGACGAATACTAGCTACATTTTCCTGTGGAACCTTTGTGTTTGAAAACATCATCAGTCATATCATGCGACTTCTGCTCTTCACAAAGATAAGTGACAATGAAAAATGATACAGATACATATTAGAATAACAAAGACAGTGAAAAAGAGATAGGGTTGATATGACTGTTACCTCTTCCAGGAGATAATGTAATGTCCGGTAGCGACACCACCTTCAATATTTCCAACAGATGGGCACTGAAGACAAAAGCACTCACTAGCGCTCTCCCCCGTCTGTAAGACAACTGTAAGAAACAATCTTTATAGTCTCATGCAATCATCCGTGAGCGTTTCATAGTGAAGTACTATCACAAAAAAGGAATACCTGTGAATTAAATATTTATAGAGATTGGAAAATAAGGCTCAGAGATGTTACTTGACTTTCTCAAGGTCAGGAAGTCCAGCATTCTGCCAATCTCAATATGCCGTTATAATAAAAACCAGGGAGGCATTTGTATGTCTGTGACAAAGTCCTACTAAAACTAATGAATAAGGAGAGCCTGGATATAGAATAATACTTCATGATGATTATTTATCTTTTCCCAAATTGTTTCATGTCTCCAAAGAAAACATTTTGGGTTAGAAGAAAAGGAAAATTTTAGTTACTCTTTTTTGGTTACTGTGTTTTGTTTATTTTGTTTTGTGGTACCGGGGATTGAAGCCAGGGCCTTCACAGTGAGCCACCTCCCAGCCCTTTTTTATTTTGAGAAAGGGTCTTGCTAAGTAGCTAAGTTGCACAGGCTGGGTTTGAACTTATGATCCTCCTACCTCGGCCTCTCTTTAGTTACTCTTTAAGCACCCAAACGTGATTGCATGTCCTGGCTTTCTCTGACTAAATCCTTATACTGAGACCACACACAAGGAAACACCATCAGCATGTGTTACTTCATTATTACCTAATGTGGCCATTCGCTGCTTGGCAAAGATGTCTTCCTTTTACCAAATTTATCATAAACTCCCTAACGACAAGGTAATGCTCATCTCACCCAAGTCTTCTCTACATTTCAGCCCCTCAGCCCAGTGTCTCTCCTTTAAATGCAAGTGGGTGATGGTGCCTATCTAATACCAATTTTAGCAAATCTGAGTGAAAATGAAATAACAGTATCTCTAACAGTAGACTATTATTTGGGGGGCTTTTCCAATGAAAAATCCTGATCAATACAGATCTAAATGTGGATAGGTAACAATCCACAGTGAAAGGAAAAAAAATAGAATCAATTTGAGTTTTTTTTTAGTAATTTTTGTTTGTTTGGGACAGGGTCTTACTCTGTAGTTCAGGTTGGCCTTAAACTTACTATGTAACCCAGGCTGGCCTCAAACTCATGGTGATCTCTCTGCCTCAGCCTCCTAAATGCTGGGATTATAGATGTATGCCACCATACCTGGCTTTTTTCAGTAATTTTAATAATTAAAAATGATACTGTAGCTCAGTAAATAAAAAATACATTAAAATTCAAATCTCTGGAAACAGGTTTGGTTTTTTTTTTTTTCTTTTTGAGACAGGGTCTCACTGTACAGTTCAGGCTGGCCTTGAGTTCACTTTGTAGCCCAAACTGGTCTCGAACTTATAACAATCCTCCTGCCTCAGCCTCCCAAGTGCTGGGATTATAGGCATGCACCACCATGCCTGGCTGGAACTAGGTTTTTATTTTATTTTTTTTTGTTTTGTTTTTTTGAGACAGGGTCTCACTGTGCAGTTCAGGCTGGCCTTGAGCTCACTTTGAAGCCCAGGCTGGTCTCGAACTCACAAAGATCCTCCTGCCTCAGCCTCCCAAGTGCTGGGATTACAGGCATGCACCACCATGCCAGCCTTGACATGGAACTAGGTTTTTAAAAAACCTGGACCATTCATATTAAAGTCTACCACAGTCCTCTCTAAATTCTAAATTAACCAAAATGATCACAATGTTTATCAACAATTAACATTAGGGTCAATTTATACTAAACTGTTGGTTTTGAAAACAGAAGCAGCAGCCATGCACCAAGAAATGCAAGGGGCCCCCTTAGAAAAAAACAGAGACTCTCTTAGAGCCTTAAAGAATCCACCCACACCGTAGCCTGTCTGGGGAACTTTAAGGCAATAAATTTGTGTTGTTTTAGGCCACTAATTTTGTGGCCATTTATCATAGCAGCAATAGGACAGTAACACAGTAAAATCAGAGATTATTTCTCAATGTAATAAACATGTATGAAACAATGCTGACAATACCAGGATGATTCAAGACACAGCTCTGGCTCTAAAAGAGCAAAATGTATCAAGAGAGCCATATTTATAAGTAAATAGATCCAATATAATGGAGCAAGTGTACACTAGATGTACATATAAAACACCATGGCCCAATCAAAAAATGGAACAGATACTTCTCAGAAGAACTGCAAATAGCCAATAAAGAAGAACACACAGAGAAATGTTCAACATCTCTGGCATCAGAGAAATGCAAATTAAAATAACACTGAGATTCCAATTTACCCCATAAACAATGACTATCATCAAGAAATCAAATAATAATAAATGCTGGATACGCTGTAGGGGAGAAAGGGTCTTTCTACTTTGTTGATGGGAATGTAAACTAGTAGAACCACTACGGAAATCAGTATGGAGATTCCTCATAAAACTAAACTTAGAAATTCCATTCAACCCAACTATCCCCCTTCTAGGTATCTTCCTGAAAAATGTGAGACCATATTACAGTGACACATACATACATATCTATGTTTGTAGAAGCACAATTCACAATAGCTAAATTTTGGAAGCTGCCCTTATGTCCATTAACAGATAAATGGATAAAGCAAATGTGGTATTTACACACAACGCAGTATGACTCTGCCCTAAAGAAAGATAAACTTGAGTCATCTGTAGGAAAATGGATGCACCTTGGGACCACAGTGTTAAGCGAAATAAGTCGGACACCTAAGCTGCAATAGCACATGGCTTCTTTTAAGTGAGAAACCCATATTATAAATAAAGATCAAAATGAAGGATAACAGGAAGTAGGGAGATAGGTCTTTCTCAAATGGGCATGGGGTGGAGAGATGGAGTGGAGGGTGCGGGGTGAGGACAGCATTATGATATGCACCTGTACCAGCACCCTACGGGAGTATAAGCATTATCTACTGCAAACAGATACTCAGAAGAAAGTGAATTTAAATGCATTAGGATTTTAAAAATTAACAAAGAAAATAAGGTATACTGAAGCAATGGTAAATGAGCTATTAACTTGAATTTTAAATGTATTTGCTTTTGTGAGTATAATTCCCAAGCTGCCTCTTTTAGTAAAAAATTAACTCTTACACTGTTAACTTACACACACACACACACACACACACACATGCACAACTCTCTCCACCACATAAGTGGGAATGACCCAGTGTCACCTCTGTCCACTTGGGACTCCAGCTGGTCCACTGCCACCATGGACGGGGAGAGCTGCAGCTCACTGGACACGATGGTCAGGGCCCACGGCGAGGCGCTCAGCAGGTCTGTCATCAGCAGAAAGGGGATGTCGGCATAGACCCTCTCCAGGGGCTCGAACTGTCACCAGGGAGAGAACAGGGCTGTCAGGAACTGAGTCAATAACTTCATGTTTCCCGTCACTTCCTACAACACACTGCTGACTGCCAGCATGCATGGTGGGAACGTACCTTCGTGGAAACAAACTTAACCGCAACGTCAAATGGAAAGACAGTCTCTATTGTTACGGTCTCATCCTGCAGGAAAATATAAAGGGCACATTCAATGGCTTTTCTAAATCTTTTTTTATAAAAATAGTAAAAAAAGAGAAGGCATACAAAATACAACCTATACATGCCCAAAAAGGTCTTCATTAGAGAGGAGGGTTTTTCTCAGATAATACTTATAAAAGTCTATGCAGCGAGGCCTATTATTTCTAATGAGTTATGTATGTTTTTTAACAGTTCACCCTGCAAAGTGCTTTTTTCTACCTCTGTTATCGCAGGAGCATGGGAAGAGAGCAGGGCAGCAGCATCACCACTTTACAGATCAATTACCGAGGGTTAAAAATATGGCAACTTGTCTAAGGCTAATGGTGCCAAGCCTGGAATCTGGGCTTTCCACTTGTGCAAGTTCCTACCTCACCTTGCCTCAAGATGACTAAAATAATAGGAAAAACAGTAACAAGGTAATGTGACAGGATAGCACTATTATAATCACTATACGTATATTATTTAACGATTATAATCACTCAAGGATTAAAATTCAAACCTCTGGAAATAGGTTTTTTTTTGTCTTTTTGGGACAGGGCCTTGCTACGCAGTTCAGGCTGGCCTTGAGCTCACTCTGTAGCCCAGGCTGGTCTTGAATTCGCAAAGATCCTCCTGCCTCAGCCTCTTGAGTGCTGGGATTATAGGTGTGCTGTTCTGATTGTCACCTTAAGGTGAGGAGGTCACATAGCTAACGTAAATGAAAGAAGGAGCTGGGGATTTAGCTCAGCCACACAGCACCTGCCTGGCAAGTGCAAGGTCGTGAGTTCAATTCCCGGTACCAGAAAAAAACCAAAAAAAAAAAGTAAATGAAAGAAGCGAAAACTTTACTGAATCTGATCCTAGAGCTTTACTCTTAACCAATGCTAGATTTCCTCTCTCTTTAAAAGAGCCTATTTGAAAAGCAAGTGGATTATTATATAGCTTTCAAAATATAAACACACACTGTTGGTAAACCCTGGAGAAGCTCATAATGGTGAAAAGCTTAGGCTGGGTTACTCTGACCCTAGCTGGGACACACTTACTAGCTGTGGGGCTTCTGATACTGCAATGGCATTGTGACTTTGGGGGTCTCTTTAAATCCCAGTTTCATGAGCCTCACACAGTTGTTATGAGCATTAAATGAGATAATACAGATGTGCTAAGACTGTAGCCTTATCTCCTCTTGGTTCTGTATTACAACAGGCTATGTAAAATTTTTGATAGTACAAAAATGTGTCTTTCTTTCAGCTGGAAAATACTGTTTACCTTTCAGCATTTTTTCCATCCCAATTACTTCTAAACAGCCTATGGCCCAGAATCTGTACAGTAACCACTCTATAAATCCCCAAATTGCTAGTTGGTCTTTTTTTCTACAAGCTGGGCTTTGTAAAATTCCAAAGAAAACTCTGAGGTGACACTGCTGCCACAACCATGAAGATATTAACTAACATAACATAAAATAGAGGAAGGTACCAGACATGATGCTTCATGGGAGTAGTTACCAAAAAATTACCTTGTGACATCTGCAAATAATTTCTTTTTCCTCAACAGTTGTATTGATCAGATAAGAAACATAAACAAGAAACATTCTTGAGCCTGTAGTTCCACAGCGAACATATATCTTTTTTTCCAGCTGTAACAAAGTGAAGTATTATAATTTAGTATTATGTCTTCCTGACATGTATTCTAAGATAAGATTCCTAGCTTGAGTTTACTGCACCACCTGGCTCTTCCAGTACAACTAAATTAACTAATCAAAGCTCCCACCATGGAGAACCTGAGTTCATTGCCGCTACATGAGTGGGGTCACTGCTAATCTTTTTTTCCCCGTATCAGGGATGCTCTTGTGCATGCTAGGCAAAAACTCCACCGCTGAGTTATACCGCCCTATCCCTGAGCTATCTTTTTTTAATCATTACCTTCAACCTCCCAAGAATTTTTGTATTTTGAATTTTTTCAAATAGAAATTAGACTAAGTTACAGATAACAGTTATTTTATCCAGCAATTAATTCTCCATATTAGGTTTACTTGTTCTAAAATTCCTTCTATAAAAACTGTCTAAGAGGACTGGCAATATTTTCCGTAGTAGAATGCTTGCCTGTCATGTACGAGGCCCTCTGTTAATCCCTAAACTGGGGGAAAAAACACTTACATATTGGATATAAAATGTTCATTAGTTAAATCACCTTTTTTTTCAGGTTCACTGCTTTATTAGTGTACGTCTGTAGTACACAATGAATATGTTTCTTAATTCTTTTTTCATCCCCATCCCCTATCCTCCCCCATCTCTTGTTCCTCTTCCCTTTTAGAAAAGATGTGTCTCCCTTTTTCCTATTATCTGTCTTTTATTTTGCTTTTTATTTATGGATGCACCTTGAGACTACAATGTTAAGTGAAATAAATCAAGACACATAAGCTTCAATATTGCATGGTTTCTTATATAAGAAACCCAAAACATAAATAAAGTTAAATCACTTTTTTATTCCTATGAGGTACTGGTAAAATGCTCTGAAATGAAAACTCATTGACTATTTGAAACTACAAACCAATTGATTTCCTCTCTAATCTCAGCTGACCACGTTCACCTGTTCCCCTGGACGCAAGTCTCCGACAGGAATATCAGTGAGTAAAGCTGGGTAGGACTCATCACACAGTTCTGTTCCATGAAGTGTCACGTGAGTTTTCTGAGTTAAGTTGGCATCCTGCCCTGAAAGTATCAAAATTAACATTTTAGGACATCAGAATTCCAATGTTATTGGAACAATTAATACTATAAGAAGAGCACTATATCATATCTTTTAAAGAAACTCCATACTGTCAGCACCATGGCACTTATTAATACTGGTCTTTAAAAACAAATGCTTACCTGGTTTCAAACCAGCCGTGAGCTTCACATCTCTGATTTGGGTCTTCTCATGAGACTGAACAGTCACAACCAAACAGTACATTTCATTTGTTAGGGCAGGTGGCTCATGGTGAAGATGTACAGAAATATTTGGAACTCTGGAAATGATCCTTTGACAGAAAACCTTAGTTAAGTAACTGATTTTTTTTCCTCTAGTGCTTGTATTCTGAGACAGAGCTTTCCTAAATTGCCCAGGCTGGCCTTGAACTCACAACCCTCCTGCCTCAGTCTCCCAAGCAGCTGGGACTACAGGCATACACCACTGCCCCTGGCCAAGCAACTAATTAAAAAATAAGTATTTAAATAAGGTATTTTTAAAAACATAAGAGGATGACCTTTTACAATCTGCCACACAAAGCAGACTTACATTGTGCTTGCCTGAATTATGATGCTGTCCCAGTGAACTTCATTGTCAGGGAGCTTAGGTCGTCTTTTGAAAGACCGCGCAGCCTGCAGGGCTTCCTGGGAGGAAGCGGCATCTCCTCCTCCTCCCTGCCAGCTCAGAACCACACACCGGCCCATCTCACTGCCCAGAACCAGATCCACAGAGGTAATCTGAAAGAGGAAAGGCCATCAGAAACACTGCCTCAGACTACTTCCTCACCATCATTCCCTCTCAGCGAGACCACCCTGAGGACTGCGAGCATTTAAAGTTCATCTAGAGGCCCGAGGGGTAAGTTGGAGTCTTCTGGGTGGGACACTGATCACTGGCCTCTGGGTTTCAACTTCTTCAGCTTTAAAACTGAGGTCATACCCTAACTCTCTACCTAAGAGACTGCAGAGTACAGTGATGAGGTTAGTATCTGACACAGTAGTTAAAAATAGATGCTCAATTAGTGGGTGCTGACATATTTTGAGGATCACTGATATATTTACAGCTTCATTTCTAATTCCATGAATTTTTTTCTGAAAATACAACACATACAACACTAGGGCTGGGGATTTAGCTCTGTGGCATAAGCGCCTGCCTGGCAAATGCAAGATCCTGAGTTCAATTCTCGGTACCCCCCCCCCCCAAAAAAAAGAAAATACAACACTAGCAATGAAATCTTCTATTAAATGAATAAATCTTGCTTTCCACCTAAATAAAAGGGTTCAAAATGGGATTACTAAATATTATTTATGTCCCTTAGGCTTCCTCAAGTACCATGTTAAAAGTAAAATACATTATTAGGGATTTGTTCAAATCATGAAAGACTTTTTAGTGCACGTCTGTAATCCCAGCATTGTGGGAGACTAAGGCAGGAAGATCCCAAGATCTACCCCAGGGACTTACTAAGAACCAGTTTCAAAAATTTTTTAAATTTTCCGGGATGTAGTTCATTGCAAAGGCTCTGGGTTCAATCCTCAGTATCACAAACAAAACATAAAACTTGTTTATAGGTTAATAATAAAATTCACTGTATCAAAGAAATGATGGAACTACTAGTAATATAACTTTATGTGCCATCTATTTCAGTAGCAGTCCCAAGTTTAAAATATCTAATAATTTTCATCCAAGTCATGGAAAACAAACACTAAATAAGTGCCTCCTATGTGCTAATCACTATAAGCGACTTACATTAACTGATTTAATCCTGATAAAACCTTATGGTGCAAGTATTATTACTATCCCATTTTACAGATGAATACACTGACACATAAATTAGTAACTGCTCAGGGTCATAAACTAGTGTAAGCTAGAGTTGGAATTTAAGCTCACATAATTTGGCTCCAGAGTTTATGATCAAATAAAATACTACTTTTATTATATATTTCTCAAAGGCTTTTTATATCTGTATTAAGTTAATCTTTTAAAATATTCATGTTTGTTTTTCTTTAAAATATGCTATCAGCAATGTTTAAACATTGAAGATGTTTAGTCTTAATTATATTATATGAAATAGACTTGCTATATTATATAATCTATATTAAAAACTCAAGATGTGTTATGTACATGTACCAATTCCCCATAATGAATGGTATCACTACATAAGAAAAATGTACACCAATAAAAATAAAAAAATCTCAACTGATTAATTAAAAATAAGTTTGGACTTAGGTACTAATAGGAAATGATGTCTATATCTAATATATATTATTACATGAAAAAAGCCAGCTAAGGAGTATTATGTATAATATATTCCAAATTTTTCAACTGAAACCAAAATTTTAAACTAAAAATACTCTCAAAGAAAAATATTGGAAGGAAGTCTACCAAGCTACTAGGAATGTTTCTTCCAGGTGGAAGATTTTCATTTTTTACTTAACTTCTGTATTATTTTAATTTTTACGTGAACATGCCATTTTTGTAATTGAAAATATTTTTAAACAAATTTCACTACTAACCTCTATTTTCTTTCCCACATCTTCAGTTTTTGCAACAAATTTAAACAACAATTTTCTTGTTTTGCCAGGAACTAAGCACATCTTTCCTTGAGTCAAATTTTCTAAAACTTCACTTGCTTTGGATGCTTCTTCTATCGTACAGAACTGGTTGTATTCCTGAAAAAAGGATGAACAAAGATCAGTTTACCCACATCAAATGTCAGCTGTTTTGGCCAATATTAATGCCAAGTGATTTGGACCTTATTATTGATTATAAAGTTTATTAACAAAAGAAAGGGTCTGGATGCCAAATTCAGAATTTACCTTCTCCCTGTAGCCAAAATGGAAAAGACAGGAGTTCATTAAGCACAACCTGACTTCTGAAAACATTTAGGTCTTTCTTTTGTAGAAGAAGAAACAAAGATTTCTTCTTTGTTGTACTGGATGCTCCTATCCATCATCTTCTTTTGTTTTTCATTTGTTTTGTTTGAGAGAGGGTCTCACTTTGTAATTCATGCTGGCCTTGAACTCACTATAAAGTCCAGGCTGGCCTCCAACTCTGAGTGATCCTCCTGCCTCAGCTCCCAAAGTGCAGGGATTTACAGGTGTGTGCCACCATGTCCAGCTCATGTCCTTTTATTGAAGAGTTTTTGTTTTTTTTTTAACATGGTTTCTGTAATACTATCTCTTAATTCTCGTCTCCTTGGTTACTTCCTGGTAACCAAAGGCTTCTTTTCTTCATCTTATCCCTCTAATTTGGAGGTGCCAAAAGTTTCAGTCTTTGATTTTGTTGGTTCTTGTTTTCTCTTCATATTCACTTCATGGGCAAGTTTACACACTACCATATACTGTGTATCTCTGTACTAAAATCTCACCAAAAAAAGGAAAAAAACTATCCTAATCTGTCCTATTTCTTTAACTACAGGTCTATGACTGTCTAGGATAAATCCACCACCTCCTCAAACTCAGCCGGCCCTACACTGAACGTGTATTATCATCCCAGAACCACATATTCCTCCTTACAGATGAATAAATGGAAGCTTCTTTCACGTGTCTACAAAATCACCATTCTCATCTGTTCAATGAATATCAAGAGCCTTCCAAATTTCACCTTCTATCACTGCAGGTGATTTGTCTTCACAGAAAATTCTTGTATAAAATTCAAGTTTTATACAGTCCCTGCGATTTTCATTTCTAGTTCATGCATATAAAATAAAACATTCAGAATCCTTAAAACTAATGCTTAAAACTAATGCTTTACATTTATTGCAGCACTTTTTATTTGTTTTTAACTGTAGTAGTAATTTTTATAGTAATACAGGGAAGTAATTTATGGTTCTTAAAAGAAGACACAAAAGAAAGGGAAAGAAATAGAATAGCAGGATACCAAGGATAGTAAGGGAAAACAAAGTCCCTGTCATGAGCCTCTAATTCCTAGCCTTCCTAGCTCATCAGTCTTGTGAGTCAGGGGAGACTGTTGTTAGGTTTAGATCTAACACTGCCCTCCAAAGCCCCATGCATTTGGAAAGTGACTGATTACGGGTGTGTTACAGCAGACTTCCTGTGAGGTTGGCTAGTTTGGCCGGAAGAGGCGGGGCTCTGTAGGCAGGACTGGAAGGGTACATTTCCCATGCCTGCTCCTCCCTTTATTCTCTACTTCATGGCCACCTTGTCCTGAGCAGCCTTCCCCTGTGGCAGGTCCTTCCACCATGCCTTTCTGCCTTGTAGCCAACCAGGCAAGGAACTGACACTACTAAAATGTGAGTGGAAACAAACCTCTTCCCCTTTCAATTGCAGGTGTCAGGCATTTTGTCCCAGTGATGAGGAAAGTGACTAAGACAGCTTCCCTCAGGAAACAATGCTTTCACCTAATAGGAGACTACAAGGCACTAACTCGTCAAGGGAGGCAGGTAAACCAATCCAAGCAGAGAAAACAGCGTATACAGATCTCCTGTCCTTCATCCATCCTCTGCCCATTCCTTATACTCTCTGTTCAGTCAACAATCTGCATTTACCTATTTGTAAAAGACTCTTCTACCCTTAAATCTCTGTTCTCAGCATTAGCATCTGAATCCAAACCCTACACTTTCCTACCTAGGTTAATATAAAGAGTCTCTAGTTTCTATGATGTCATTTCTTTCCCTCTATTTACAATTACAATGTATTTCTTAGACAAAAATTTAATGCTATCGTGTTAATATTTTCAAATTAATTAGAAGGAATTCCTGGATAAAGACTGGAAGTTACACAAAACATACTGATCTTCAGCCAATCAAGGTTCACCTAACCATTTCTAGTGTAAGGGCATTTCTCAGTTCTTATGAATAAAATCCTATTAAACCAAATAATATCCTTTCTATATCCCCATCTGATAAATAGAACACAGATTAAAAAATGAATAAATAACTCTAAAAGACTTCTACTTATTTAGACTACTCTGTTTAACTCTTTCAAGGTTCTTACAAGCCACCTGGTCAAAAGAAAAAACCAAGATTTCACCACTTACCAGTCCAATTATTTAAATACAGGGTGACCAAAACTGCATGTTTTTCATTAATTTTTATAAGACAATATAACAGGAAATAAAACAACAACAACTTTATCGAATTTATTACAAGAACTGACTGAAATGACACCTGCGTGACTGACGCTCAGGACAGTCAGTACCTAAATAAACTTGCTTCTCAGGGTAAACTGGTAAGTGGTTCAAATGCACTAAGCTCGTTTTATGTTGTTTAATGCAAGCTACAATAATATACCTAGTAATAAACACATGAAAATGTACCATTACCTGATTATTAAAGCTGACACAGAGCTTGGAAAACCTAATGGGGTGTGGACAATCGGCCTTCAGATAAATATCAAACTGAACAGGAACATCAACATGAAAACTTGGGGCATGAAACTTGGCTTTGCATTGCACTAGAAATTAAACAAAAAAAGGCTGAGTTAGGTGTATACTACCCAATACGCAAGTCCTGACCCACCCACATTATTCTGTGAACCATATTTACCCTTCAGAAAAAACACAGTTGCATTCTTTTTCCTTACGATATTCTTAAAGACATCTACGAAAGTTAAATGTAACTTCAAAACCACCTTTAATCCAAAAAAATTTGCACCTAAAATACAGGTGATAGGATTTTAAAGAAAAAGAAACTTTTAAAAAAAAAATACTTCCCTAGACATTAAAGCATAAACTTTGAACACAACTCTCTAAGGGTATTTCTAACACATGAACTATAAATGAACAGGGTATGTTTTAAGATATAAACCAAATATTTCATGTCGTATCTTTTTACATCAATGAGAAAAAAATTATAATTTTTCCATGACATGATTATACTTTGAAAATGTCCACTTCTACTCATTTTCTAGAAAGGAGAATGCTTTTTCTGAAATAATCTTGTAGATGGTGGCTACCTACCAAATGGTACAAAGTCTTGGACCCCTACAGTGAAAATATTGCTGCCAGCCAGAGAAACCCGGTCAGCCCACAGCTTCTGAGCAGTCTTCACAGCCAAGGCATCGCAGTCAGGTTCAGGTTCGGGACTTTCATTCTGCAAAAATACACAATTAAATGTTTGGATCTTATTATTTGAAGAACAATATGCATACCTAGAATACACAGATCTATGTATACATATTCCTGTAACACATTTTATACAAAGAATCCCAACTTACCATTAAAACATTTATAAGGTTCTTTTCTATACGAGATTTCTGGTCATCTTTCAGAGTTGAAGCTAGAATGAAGAAGAAATAAAATTAGAACCATAAAATGCAAGTAAGTCCACTAGCCTCACTTACTGTGTCTACAATATCCTAGAGTAAATACCTCTTCTAAGATGAGTAAGCACAGTGTCTTGCACACAATGGAAATGCTACTAAATATCCGACACTGAGCTATTTTAAAGATACTAAAAATCTGCTGGGTTGAAATCTTACTGAAAGAACATCCACTTACCTCTTCCAAGGAGTTCTAGGGAATAAGTAATGTAATCCTTTAACTGGGCCATGAGGTAGGAACACTTCAGAGCAGTGGTGAGTATAGACGTGAGCAGAGTCCACCATCCCTCACTCCGATAATCACACATCACATAATCCAGCAATCTAAGGGACGACAAGGAGCGGGACACACTGAAGCGGCTGCACAGGAAGGGCTGAAGAGTTCGTGGAGAAAATCTAGTGTTGTTCTCTTTTTATGTAAATATAAGAAAGTCTTACTGACAGTTTAACAGGCATTTTTTACTTTTAGCTAAACCTGAAGTTACCTAAACTTTCAAAGTTTATGCCAGCAGAGGGCACTTGATATAGCACAGAAATGGAAATTAAAAGAAGTAGCTCTGGAAATAATAAACACTTTGATGTAAATTTCTATTCCAATTTCACTGTAATCAGGGTACTTGTAAAAATAAAGTAGTAAACAGGACTCACTTCAAAGCTTTGGTATAATCCTTTGCATAATAATATTCTTCTCCCATTTGAACCACTACAAAAAAAAGATTTATGTATGTAATTTAAATTAATAAAATTACATGAAATTGTCGAAACTTATGAATACATACTTAGATGACTTTTCATTCTTGGACACTTATACTTCTTGAATTGTGCAACAGCATTGCTCAGAAGAGTTATTATTATTTCCTGTTAGAAAGATACAGTGTAAAACATTTAAATAAAATAATCTCATCTTTTTCTTGACCACAGTAAAAAACAGCTTATATTGGGGGGACAAAAAGCAACTTACTGAGTGAACAACATTTCTCTCCTTCAGCTGAATGGCAAGAATTCCTACTTTCTCTTTTTCAGGATCAGAAAGATCAAAACCTGTGTAAGACACGACCCAACCCATTTTAGATAGTTCATTGAACACAGACCTTCACATAAACATTGTATGTGTACACTCCTTGAATCCTTATAATGTATTTAAGGTTCTTAAAATATTCCAGAATATTTAAGATTCCAAGAGACCATCATATTAACACTGAAACTTCTCTGTGACCTCAGTTCTGAAGAGAACCTTACTGAGCTCAGGGTTCTTTCACCCAGTGGCACCACCTGTCATCCTCCACAGAAAACACAGTGTCTGCAGATTATACACATAACTAATACTTAATGCTCAGCTGCCAGATGTTGCTTGAATTAAATTGTGTGTAAAACTGAATAATATGCAGATAAACTTTTTAAGGTGATGCAAGTTAATGTTTTAAAATGTCACATAGGGGCTGGGAATGTAGCTCAGCGGCACAGCACCTGCCTGGCAAGTACGAGGTCCTGAGTTCAATTCCCAGTTCCAAAAACAAAGAACAAATCAAATGTCACATAAACCATTTAGCTCAGCGGCAAAAGCGCCTGCCTGGCAAGTGCAAGGTCGTGAGTTCGGTTCCTGGTACCGGAGAAAAACAAAAAACAAAAACAAACAAACAAATGTCACATAAACCATTAAAGTTAATTGGAATTAAAATGTTTACTTGACAATGGATTATGTCATTTAAGAGAGACCCAAATGTTTTAATTATATCAACATATGTAATTATGAAAATTAATCTAAGATACAGTGATATAAACCATTCTAAAAACTAAGAAACTGTACATTTAAAAAAATCTCTACATTTATTTTTACTTCAACATAATTTTCTCCTAGCTACCTCAAATAAGAAATTATGACAGCGGGGCTGGGGATTTAGCTCAGTGGCAAAGTGCCTGCCTGGCAAGTGCAAGGTCGTGAGTTCGGTTCCCAGTACCAGAGAAAAACCAAAAAAAAGAAATTATGACAGCTATCTTTGTCTTTTGAAATTTAGAGAATGGGGGAAGAAGAAAATCATTTACTTAATATTCCTTGTCGCCATGACCTCTGTCCATAAAAGTCAAGAACACCTGTTTGTGTTTCTAAGGGGTCAGGAGTTGGATACATTACAGAGGCCTGTAAATTAAAAAAAAAACACAAATAAGAGTTTATGTAATCCATCACAAATCAACTCTTCTCTAATCTTTGAGTGAATAAAGAACTTTTTATTAATAAAGAAGTTTTCATCAAGCACACATTCAAAAATCACAGTTGTAAATATTTTATCATTCATTAAATTCTAACAAAAATTAAACTATATTTAATATTAGAAGATCTTATAAAAATTGAATAAATCAGTGTTTCTGACTAATGATTTCATAGTAACTTCTTTGAATTTTCTTTCTTTGCCATAAAAAACTAGTGAAAATATATTACAAATTATGTTTGAAATTTATTTCATATGTATAATGAAAATATTCCCTGTAAATAAAAACAATATTATAAGAAGTTTTAAAGAGAAAACACTATTTTCTTTATCACTTATGTATTATTCCTAGTATTGGGGGAAGTGGGTATTTGGTAACAGAATCAAGAGATTTAAACTGCTTTATTTTTCTTTTTTCCCCTCTAAAACCAAAATATAATAAAAGTATCTTGCTGAAAAATGTACAAAATATTTAACAGGAAGAGGTTACAAATTTAAGTTACTTATAAACTATAACCACCTGTTAACAAATATACATTATCCTTACAGATTGCTGTGTAACAATTTATTTGTTGCCAAATGAAATAATTTTCAACCTATTTTAAAAAATTTAAATACTGTATCTCAGCCAGATGTGGTAGCACAGGCCTACATTCCCAGCACTGTGAGAAACGAAGAAAAAAGGATTCCAAGTTCAAGCCCAGACTGGACAAATGAGTGACGCAGCTAAACCCCGTCTGAAAATTTTAAAGAATACAAAAATGGACTGGGAATGTTGCTCATTATTAAAGCCCTGGGTTCAATCCCCTGTCTTGCATAAATAAATAAATAAACACACTCTACCCATTTCATCATATCTTTAAATATTCTTCTAAACATTATTTTGCAAGACTGCCTGCTATTCTACACTTTAACAAATTCCCTACCGTTATTCATCTTATTCTATTTTGCGTTGTAATTAATAAATATCATAGGGTCTATTACCTGCCTTAGTGTTTCTGAAAAACAATTTTGAGTCAAAAGATGTGTAGTTTTAAAGTTCAAAATATTTTTGAAGGCAATATTATTTTACATTCCAATAAATATTTATGAATGCCAATGCCCTGAATCCTTAACAAATCAAAGCCTATAATCTCAATACTCAGGAAACTGAGGCAGGAGGATTGTCAAGAGTTCAACACTACCTGGGTTACACATTAAATTCCAGGCCAGTCTGAACTATATAGCAAGATCTTGTCTCACAAAACCAAAAATCAAATAGAAAAATTTTTGCTCAATTTACAATGAAAAATGGAGTACTTCTGTCAAAATGATCATAATTCCTAAAACTATATAAGATAAAGAAAACTACATTCAAAGACTTGAAAACAATTATCCACACTAATCAGTCCTAGTTTACTTGAAGAGACGATTAGCAAGCTCTCTAAATGCTGGCTAACACAGGAGTTGGTAACTTACGTCATGATTACAGAGGGCTTTTGCGTGCTGTTTCCGCTCTTGGGCATAATATGCTGCCTGTTGGTAATAGAAACCCGGATTCTGAGTTTGAATAGCTGTTAACCCTAACTTAATAGCTTCGTCAAATAAATCTCCAAAGGCCTGGAATCTTAAAGGAAAAAAAGAAAAAGCAACTTACTTTTAGTAATTACTCATCCTAGGAACCATAGCTTCAGCGTATTTATAAAAATAATGCTAATGATTAACAATTAATATTTGTCATAATTTCTTTGTAAATATTAATATACACTACTTATAAGGTTAAAGATAAATTCTGTATTTATGTCATCTTTTCTGCACTAACAAGTTTATAAATAAACCATCAATCTAGATCTTAACATGTTTCACTCAAGTACATCCAAGTTTCTGGGAACAATTTCATTTTATCTATGTTTAAGCAGTTTTAAACAGTAAAGCCTATGACAGCAGGACTTTCCTTCTCTTCCCTGGTACATTCTCAGGATGTTGACACACACTGGAAACCCATAAAGATACACTAAATGAATAAAATAGTGTCATGAATTAACTGGCTTCCACTAAGAAACCGTACCAACCAATATACACTATTACCAGAAACATACATAGGCTTTTATTTATTAAAAATCTACTTACTGAAAAAAACTTAGCTCAGGGTAGAGTCAAACTCCATGCTAATTTCATTTCTAAAACCCACATATTTTAAAAGTACAATTTAAAACATACTGTTTAGACATCCATGCAGCATGCTCAAAAGACAACTCTGCACTTCCGATTTTTTTCTTGCACAAGTCAATATGTTTTCTGAACTGGGCGATTGCATCTAGTGGGGTGTTGTGTTGAAAACACAGCCTACAGATCTGTAAAATGGAAAATCAACCCCGAAATAAGAGGGGAAAAGTCAAAAGGCATAATGATTCAAAAACACATAAAGTTTCAGAATAACTTTACAAAAGACTGTAGAATTTCCTTCTCCTAAGTTCTTCACAATAGAATTGGTTTTCTTCATGAGAATGGTTACAATAAAACCAGAGGCTTTATCAATTTGAGTAATTCTCTACGCCTTAGAAAATCTTTTTAAAAATATAGAATTTTTAAAAGTATACCAAATGAAGAACATTGACTAATACTTCCAACAGATAAGTGAAAAATGATAGGTTGACTTTTGGTTTTAGAGTTGTCAGAAACCTATTTTCTATAGCTCAAAGCCCAGTTTTCTCCATGTCAAACTTTCAATCCTTTTGCCAAATCCATATGCTGTTTCAAAAAATGTTATCTGGGGGCTGGGGATTTAGCTCAGCGACACAGCCCCTGCCTGGCAAGCGCAAGGTCATGAGTTCAATTCCCGGTACCAGGAAAAAAAAAAAAAAAACCCACCAAACAAACAAACAAAAAAAAATGTAATCTGTATGTGCTGAAGGTAAAAAGAACAGTAGAAGGAATAAAGCCTAAATAATTTCCAAATGCTAATTTTTATTTTCAATTTTACTTTTTAAGTACAGAGGAAAACATGAAAAGTAGTTTCTTATCCTTCTCACTCCTTTGACCATCCAACTTCCCTTTCCACAGGCAATGGGTTTCTGCCGTTTTCTACATACAGACAAGTATATGCCTATTTACATATATGAAGCGGTATACAAGTAACACTACACTAAATACTGTGCTGAGTTGTGTCTTCCTTTTTTCACCTAACAATATCTTGCTATCATTACACATCGATATATATAGAGTTGCCTCATTCTTAATAGCTACATAATGTTCCATTTATTTAGTTAGAATTTATATAAACAATCTTTTTTTTTTGGTACTGGGATTGAACTCAGGACCTTGTGCTTGCCAGGCAAGTGCTGTGCTACTGAGCTATATCCCCAGCCAACAATCATTTATTGCTGATTTATTTCCAGTCTTTTCCTACTAGAAGACATAAGCAACCATAGATGTGATCTGTAAGTGTTAGCATATATGTCAATAAGTAGAAATTAAAATTGAATTAAAATAGAAATAGAATTTCTGAAAGAGAATTGCTAGGTCAAAGGGAACACCCATTTTAAATCTGTTCAGTCACCACAATATTCCATACAGGAACTGGGCCTATTTACGTTACACGGTTACTTGAACTATTTGCCCACACGTCACCAACCCAGGGCCAGACACCTTAAAACATCAATGTGGGAAAATTAAAAGCAAACAGACCTCATTTGTCTCCGTGGGGGACAAAGGGGATCTATTTCTACAGCGTACAATCTTAAAACACTCAAGCAATAGTTAACAAAAGTTTTCTTTAAGGTGAATAGATAGATCTACCTTTTCTATAGTGCTATTAAGTCAAGGAAGGTTCTACTATGCTGCACTGTTGAATAGATCAATAATATAGCCAACTTTCTTCTCACTATTCCCTGCTTACAGTCAAAAATAAGCACTAAAAAACCATCCCAACTCTGAACAACCAGGACCTATAAACTCAAAAATAATCCATTACTCTTAGGCTGGTAAGAAACAAAATCCTTCTTGAGTAAAACCATATTGGGGCTGGAGATTTAGCTCAGTGGCAGAAGTGCTTGCCTGGCAAGCACAAAGTCCTGAGTTCGATTCCCAGTACCAAAGAACAACCCCTCCCCGCAAAAAAACATATAAAAAAGCAGCATAATTAAAAACCAACTTTTCAGAGCAAGAAGCCCAGTTTGATTTTCAAATTTTAAAAAGATAATACTTAAAGAAAAATTCTCTTTATTTTGAAGTTGAACTGTTACCTTGTAGTTTATAAATCCTGCCATAGTCTTAATTTCCAGAATGTTAGTTTCATGGGCTCTCAATTCATGTACAAGATTATAAGCAGTCCTATAATTCCTAATATAAACATAAGAGTGGTTAATTGTAATATAAATTAATTTAAAAACAAATCCCAACAACAAAACTATCCTAAATAACAGAAACTCTATTTATTCAACATTTCTTAATATGCAATACCTTGGTAATAGTGTATTCATATCAATCTTCAATGTCCTAAAAAATTATTTATAATGTACATGAGAGGAATCAGTAAGTTTTCAAAGAACAAAACCATCCTATGTGCATTATTCCTTCCGTTATTAACACTGGCCAATAACCAACAGAACATAAGCTGAAAAATGCAAGTATATTACACAGTTATTTAGAATTACATTGAAAAATTAAGCATTCTGGTAAAAAAAAATTATGTTCAATTTCCATTATGAACTTCTTAAAAATTTTATCATCACAGAAGTGAGACTAGAGAGTCCTGCAGGAACAGGGCCTATCCCAAGACAGAGAAGGTAATGAGAAAAATCTCAGAAGTTTTCTCCCCAGGAGAAAGCGTACTCTTGGGCTTTGGCTGCGGCTCAGTGTTAGAGAGCATTTGCCCACTGCCTAGCATGCATGAGGCCCTGGGTTCGATACCCAGCACTGACCAAAAAAAAGGAAAAAGGTGTACTCTTCACTTTTGGGTACTTTTTTTTTCTTCCTAGAATTATTTTTCAACAAACCTGAAATTAGAGATTTTTAACTAATGCCATCCATAAAAATGAACTATATTAAAAGCAGCTATAATTATACAAAGTCACCATGATTCAGAGCATACAGTTTGGTGCTTGGAACCTCAACAATAAAAGATAAGACATTTCTGTGATATTCCTGTCACAGAATTACTTTTATTTACTTGTATTTTTGTTCATCTCCTTAATTAAAGAATAAATAGCTTTTAAAGTCTTTTTTCATACTACCACTATCAATCTAAAAACTAAGTTAAAGCTACAGTAAGATAGTGTGTCATTAAATTGTGGTTGGTAAAAGAAAGAACTAATGCCAACACATCTGCAACTAATCTTCAAGGCTCTAGGCAGAGCCTTCAAAGGGAAAATGGTGTTACTAACAGGTATTATTAGCTGAAAGTTCAATTAAATAAATGTACTATAAACTATAACAAACCCATTATTATGGTTTAGAACTCCACCTCCCACCAGAAGAATTTTACTGAACATACAAATAAAAATAGATGGGGAAAACTTTAGTGTTTATTTCTTTAAAGCATGAAATTTAATTAGCCATATCAGAAAGCTTTATGATATTCCAAAGTTTAATTCCAATAATAAAGTGGAAATTTTTTAAAAACCTCAACATATTATATGCCATTCATTTCTAGACAAACTAAACATTAAATACCTGAATCTAACCAGCATAAACATTTCAAACTTAGTTTGGCTGACCTGAGTAACTACCATTAATATGTCATCAGTAACATAAAGGTAAGAAAAATTTAGTTTGGTAAGTGTTAGAAACTTACTTCAGAGCATTTTGTGTATCTTGTTTCAGCTCACTGAAGAATGCTATTTTGAACTGATGTCTAACAAATAAAAGCTGGGAAAAAAAGATAAAAAAGCACTACTAAATACCTATTTTAAATGTGCAAATTATAATGTTTCATACGAGACATGAAGATATAAAAGAAAATACCCAAAATTAAAATTCAACAATTATTCCAACAAACAAACATATAGTTTAAAAGGCTGGAAATATTTATAAGCTTTTAAGGGTGAAAAGTTAAAAAAAAAACTAAAAGGGCAAGAGCATAATTTTAAAAGATACTAGTTTTTTTAAATCTTTAGAAAAGCTTAGACATACTGAAGCCATTTAAAATACCAAAGTATTAAAGTCATGTAGTAATCACTTCAAAAATAATCAATAATGAGTAATTTGCCTTAGAATGCCTCTTTTACTTAAAAATACGTACCTGGTGTGTTGTCTTATTCAAAAATTCTTTATGAGATTTCACTCTTCTGATTTCAGTGTAGTAATAAGTCTGTGCATGTTCATAAAAAGCATTTTCTAATCTGTTAAAAAAAAAACAGTCAAACATTAACGTTATTAAAGTTATAAAGTTATTCTATTGCTTTCCTGAAAGGAACAGTTAATGATTACTTGTTTGATCAGAATTGCATGTCTCTATTTGTTTTCCTGAGAAACCACTTTGAAGATCTCAATCCGTAATACAACAACCATTGTTAATTTCCTACCACTTTGTCTGTAACTCTGTATCATATGTATTGTTCTTATGCTATTTTGTAAATGGATGTCTGTTTGTTAATATGTTTTCCTTCTATCATTTTAAAAATAAATTAAAAAAATAAATAAAGTTATTTTAAACCAAACTCTTACCAAGCATTCTACTTGTGAGATCTAAAAGTAAATTCTTGACAGAGATAATGCCTATTTTACTCCATGATTAAGATAAAAAATAAACAAAATATAAGTTGAATCTCTAGATAAAAAGTCTAAAATTAAGATCTCCCTCAAAGTATTTAAAATTACTTGCAATATAAAACATGACTAATAAAAACAACCTCTTATTTGTAAAAATAAGGTACTCTTTAAGACTACAACAAAAATCTAACCAGTGATCAATAAACAACTCAAACTTTCTTTCATGAAAAGGAGAGCTTTATTAAGAATATCTGCCTATGGCACAAAAGAAGGCTGAATTCACAGTCAGATAACAGATGAACTTTGAGGTTTTCCTCTTCAGAATAAAACAGAAGTTTGAGTCTAGAATAAAAGAATTTAAACACACCTAACACAAATAGGTAAAGGAAAAAAATATTAATAGGTAAGTCAAAAAATTTTAAATCAGATATTATATTTTAAATTAGATTTTCTATGTTCATTTTCTATTTTCAGTACTGAGAATAAATGGGATCGTATCAAATTAATAAGCTTCTGGACAATGAAAGAAACCACCAACAGAATGAAGAGACAACCTACAAAATGGGAAAAAAAATTGCCAGCTATTCCTTAGAGGACTAATATCTAGAATACATAAAGAAGTCAAAAATAATAGACCCTGCAAAATAAAAGGCCCACTCAAAACATTGGCAACTGAATAGAAACTTCAGAGAAGTACAAATGGCCAATAAATACAGGAAGAAGGAAAGAATGGCCATCAGGAAGAAACCAAGTAGTAACAAATGCTAGCGAAGCTGTGGGGCAAAAAGGAAACTTTCTACATTTTTGGTGGGAATATAAACTAATATAATCACTATGTAAATCAGTACAGAGATTCCCCCAAAAAAACTGAAACAAGAAATTCCATTTTACCCTGCTATTCCCCTTTGAGGTTTCTTTCCAAAAGAGTTAAAGACACATTACAGTGATACATGCACACCCATGTTTACAGCAGCACAATTCATAATAGGTAAACTTTGGAAGTGGTCTATATGTCCATCAACACGTGAATGGACTAAAAAGACGTGTTATTTATATACAATGGAGTAATACTCTCCCACAGAAAAGATAAATGATTCATTTGTAGGAAAATGGGTGCACCTTGAGACCATAATGTTAAATGAAATAGATCAGACACACAAGCTTAAATATCACATCGTTTCTCTTACATGAGAAACCCAAATTATAAATAATGAGAAAAAAAGAAGATAACAGAAGTAGGAAAAATAGATGTTTCTCAAATGGAAAGATCAACAGATGAAAGGAGGGTAAAAAGAGGAATTAAGATGTTTTATGTACATGTACCAACTTTACACAAGGAATGTACACATTAAGTACTGCAAATATGTACTAATGAAGGTTTTTAAAATTTGATAACACACTAAAATAATTATAAGCAAAATAAAAGATATTCAATTTTCAAAACTATAGTTTAAAAAGTTAAAATATGAAAATAATAAAAAGTACATTCTAACCTTGAACCAAATATTAGACATATACACACATCAATGTTATGCTATGTCTCAAAACAAAATATATCTTATCAGATAATTTAGACTAGAGTTTTGATTAAAATCAGATTCCTAGTCTAGCCAGTTATCAGAAGATAAGTGGTACTCTTAGTGAAAGTCATACAAAGATCACCTGGAGTCCATTTTCAGCTAGGACTGCATAAGCATATCAATTAAGCATTATTTTTAGAGGGAACAAACATTATCTTAGCCACTACAGTCAAACACTGAAAAGCTATTATTCAAGGCTAAGAAGGACAGCTCAGTGGTAGATCACTTTCTTAGTGTGTGCAAAATCCTGGGTTCATCCTCAGCAGCACATGCACAAAAAGTATGTCACATGAAAAGCTAAGATTCACTCCAGAAAACAAAGCCATCAGTTTTCAGATGAAGAATACTGAACCTCCCCTACTACAGATGTGCATTAGAGTCTACAAGGCAAAGCCTGCCTGGATTTCAGAAACTACGTAACAGGCAAAATGGTCACACAGGTTTAAGGGCCCAAGGGGGAAGAACTGTATATTTAAAAGGAAGTTAATAGCGAAGGTACACCCTGGGCTACAGGCTAACAATAAAGGGAGTAAGAAGCAGCAGGAACAGCCGAGTATGCGGCATTACTTACGTCCTCTTTTTCCCTACCAAATTTTTTTAAAAAGGGAGATAAAAGGGAAAGCCAAATATGGCTTCAATATTTTCCCACCCATGAAAATGTTTACAGAAATTCCAGTTCTAATTCTTAATTTATGAAAAGGCAAAGACCAAAGATCTGAAATCGAACTGTATATTATTTTCTATTTGTAATAATTAGTTGAGACCCTTGAAACTCTTATTTGAAATAAACTGGTTAGAAAATTGTTTCAATATTATCAAGAATGCAGATGATAGCGATGATTACAATGATGATGATGACAGCAAATACTATATGGAACACACATTTAAGTTAATCTCAGGAAAAAAAAAAAAAACACGGTAAATAAAAAGAATTCCGAACAGCCATTTTCAGCATGTTTTCTCTACAACTCAACTTTCCTCTGAAAAGCATTTGCTTTTTACTTGTTATTAAAACGTCAGCCTTGTTTTGAAAGGTAAAATAGGTATGTGAGGGTTTTTTGTGTTTTTGTTTTTTTCCAACATTTTCTAGTTAGTATGACATGGACAGCCTACTATCCTGGGAGGAACATCGGAAGATTTGGAACACTTATCTTTCCATAAAAGTAAAATGCTTAATCTGACAATTCTTCTAAGAATTGTAGCTTGAAATGATCATCAAACTTTTGTAACACAGAAGATTTTCACAACCATTCTCTAATGCATTACAGTTTTATAAACATTCTAACACCTTGACCTGCTTTTGAAAAGTTAACCAGACCACTGGTATTCTGTAGCACATATGCATCAAAAAGCACAGGACTGAGTGAAGACGCCACCAGTAAGTGCTACTGCCCTCCCAGATCAGTGAACTTGAAGGTTTCCTGACACTGAGCTTTATTCTCTCGCTTACGATGAAACACAAAGATGCCAGTGGACTGCCTAGGCACTACCTGTGCTCAGAGCCGCTTGTTGGCAGTCAGACTCAGAGACCTTGCTTCTTGGGTCGGTCATTTGGACACTGTATGCATTCCTTAAGTTTCTGTGTCCCCCGCATAAATGGTAAAAACAAAACTCTTTTGCAGGCAGGTAATCCTAGCACTCTAAGATGCTGTGGCAAGAGAATGGCAAGTTGTAGCCCAGCCAGGGCAACTTAAAGACTTACTAAAACCCTGTCTCCAGGAGAGGGGAGGATGAGGGGGGAAGGGCAGGGGCGAAAAGAGAAAAGAAAAGAGGGCTTGGGACATAGTTCAGTGCCAAGGCCCTGAGTTCAGTCCCTGGTACCAAAAAACAAAAACGAAGCATGCTTCTCCTTAAACTCCGAGCAGTCACCTCAGTGTTATACTGTACTGCACACTACTGACCTGACTTTCTGTGGTGTGGATTGTACTGCTTATCGCTTCCCTGTGGATATTCTATTAACAGAGTTATACTTTCTTGCAATGTATCATTTGATTCTGCTGTTGTTATATCACCTCACTTCTAAAGCTATGCTTCACTTTTTTAGAAATCATGTATTCATTTGCCAATGAAAATACCAGATAATTTTCAGAGTTTACTTCTAAAGAACTAGAAACTAATGCAAGACACATAATAATCAAACATATAAAAAATAAAATATAAAAATAATCAAATGTAAACTAAGCTGTTCTTGAGTTTAAGAGCACCTTTGCAAAATGAAATCATTTTATAGTCAAAAATCAATTAAAGTCTATCTAAATATATCTCAGCAAAAAAAATTATTACTGTAAAACTTCTCTGCACCACTGAATACTAAAAAAGCAATGGACAATGATCGCATAATTTTTGAGATAATGTTGTATGCCCAGATAACGTGTGTGATTTACTTTTTATAAGGCATTTATAAAGATATTTAGCATATGGTAAGCCTTAGTGCCTTTGAAAATTATTTACACATCACAAATATATCAACATAGCAAGAGTGAAGAAATGAGAGGCCAAAAATGGAGACACTATCATACAAAGAACACATCACAAAAGGACACATTCTAATCACTGAAAAGTGCAAAGAAAAACATAAACCTTTGTTTCTGAGACAAGGGTCTCCATATGCTGCCTAGGCTAGTCCTGAATTCATGGGCTACACCAGTCTCTTGCCGCAGACCCCTGAGTACCTAGGACTATTCACTCCCTACTGTTTCCAACTAAACCCTTCTTACAAATGAGGCTGACACAGATACACATATGGAAAGGTGCCAATGAGGTCGTGTTAAGTGGAAGATCATTATATATTATGTTACATTTATATTTGTGTGTTTGTGTGTGTATACACATATTATAAAGGTTCACATATATTTGCTCCTATACAAAAGACACTTTTGGAAGGCAACATGTTGACAGTGTTCATGTCAGAGAAATGGACACAGTTAAGGAGTTAACAAAAGAGACTTATTCCACAGTCTCTAAACTCTTTACATGTTTTTCTATTGAACATGTTTGGTTTCTTAAAAAAAGAAGTGGGTCTCAGCTAACAATTACTTAATTCCTAAAGAACAATCTAAAAAACAAACTTTAAAAGATCTTTTTTTCTTACCTTATAATATAACCCACAAGGTGGTCAGTGTGGGGCAGCACAAACAACGACTTCCCTGAGAGCTCACAAGCATTGCACAACGCTGCAGCCCTTTCCGAAGCAATGACATCTTCTCCTGGTGTAAGTTCAGGAAGAAAAGGAGTAAAATAAGTAAGTTGTGTATTTTCCCAAAGGGGTATTTCCCCAAATCTGGAAGTAAGACAAAATCCCAAACCACTTTTCACCATGCCAACAAGATCGGAGGCTCCTTGGGAGCTTGGGCTTCTCAGAACTCACAAGTTATACAGTACAGGGGCTGGGGATTTAGCTCAGCGGCACAGCGCCTGCCTGGCAAGCGCAAGGTCATGAGTTTGGTTCCCGGTACCGGAACCCCCACTCCCTCCAAAAAGGAAGTTATACAGTACGTACTTCTAGGACAACACTGTGGAATTTTCTACTGAGCCAGATAAACAGGCCAAGTAGTGCTAACAGATATATCGCATGTCTATGATAAGAAACAAAACTAAAAATGGAAGAAATAGTTCATGAAAGAAACTTCCAAAACCACTTAGGATACTACAGGTTTCAGCATAAAAACAAAAAAACAAACAAAAAAACCCACTTGGGCCTATGAAAACCTAGGCAAGCAAAGAAATCAAGATTTAAAATGAAAATATTTTTCCAGAGGTGAAATTGCAAGTCTTATAGCACTTTTTTTTCTTTTTGGTATGGTATTGCAGAATGAACCCAGGGCCTTTGCACTAAGCCACATCCTCACCTTTTGAAAATGTTTTATATTGAGACAGGGTCTTGCTAGGTCACAAAATTGCCCAGGCTACGCTTGAAATTGTGATCCTCTTGCCTCAGCCTCCTAGAGTGCTGAGATTACAGACATGGGCCTCCAAACCTTGCATATCTTTTATTTTTTTATAACAAATACTGATTTTATGTGTTGGTACTTTTCTAAGGTTAACCCACTATCATCCCTGAGACTAAACAACTTAAACATTAAAAGACTACTTCTTGGTCATAAGAATTTTAGGATTAAAGCAAGTAATTAATGAACCTTTTGATACCTGGAGGCAAAGGGGTTTTCTTCTGAATCAAAACCACTGCAACTTTTGTGTTTCTTCCTTGTAAACTTTGTCTGCAATGGAAAAAAAAAATAAAATTAATTAGTTTTAACTGAATGTATTCAAGGTTTTACATGAAATATAAGCTTGATAACTGAAGATAAATTTCAACTAAAAAGATCAAGAGCAGAGTAACTACTTTCCTAAACATAAACAATATATGTCATAATGATTTCAATTTTAAAAGTATAACATAGATGGGCATGGGAGCACACTTCTATGAGAGGCGGAGGCTAGAGGCAAGTTTGAGCCCAGCTGGGCAATTCAGCAACTTAGCGAGACCTCATCTCAGAATAAAAAATAAAAAAGGACTGGGGATGTAGCTCAGTGTGAAGGTCCGTGGTTCAACGTCAAACACCACAAGAAAAATGTGGAAGTTTAATATATACTTCCATGTAAAACTTACAATACAACTTATGTCTTCATATGACACGTTAGTCATATACTTTAAAAGTGAAAGTTTAAAACATAATTTTATGTAAAATTATAATTTGTTTTTTTATAGTGATACATTAGTCATCTAAAAGAATTTTTAAAATGGAATACCAATGTATCTTATGAGGACAGAAATGGTAAATTTCTGTGTCTCAAAAAAAACATCAATGCAAGAAAAAAATTTGGAAATTTCTTCACATACTGCAGCATTACACACAGACACTACTTATCAGGAACTGGAAGTCAACAATCTCAGAAATGATCAATTACTGGGATTTAGCTCAGCGGCAAAGGGATTTAGCTCAGCGGCAAAAGCGCCTGCCTGGCAAGCGCAAGGTCGTGAGTTCGGTTCCTGGTACCGGAGAAAAAACCAAAAAAAAAAAAAAAAAAAAAAAAAAGAAATGATCAATTACTGAAGCTGAAACAAACCGGGCATGGTGGCACACACCTGTAATCCCAGCACTTGGGAGGCTGAGGCAGGAGAATTGTTACAGTTTGAGACCAGCTTGGGCTACAAAGTGAGCTCAAGGCCAGCATGAACTGCATAGCGAGACCCTGTCTCAAAAAGACAAAAAAAAAAAAAAAAAAAAAAAAAAAAAAAAAAAAAAGAAGCTGAAACAGTACTCAGCTGTCTTCAATAAATGTCAGTAAATGATGGACAACTGCAAACTACAGCTGCCAACTTGGAAAATGGAGCGCCTACCTGACGATTTCCACTCGGGTGGCACACTCAGACTGCTTTTCTTTCCACTGAGGCTCATCCCAGTCCAGTTCATAGAATACAACCACCAGGGCTGGCACCAGATTCAGATGCTTATTCATCCAGCCAGTCTTTAAGATCCCTTTAGGAATGTACCACTCATACGAAGTTCTCTGCAGACAGTGGTTAAGTTAGTTATTTGATAATGATAGCAACAGGAACTACTTACTGAGGCCCCAGTACTTTATCTGTATTTATTTCATTCAATGTGATCACTGAGCATTTTTAAGACAAGATGCAGAGATTAAGACAGCAAGTGCAGGAGGTAAAATCTCAACCCTAGAAACATTACACTTCCCATTTAAGAAAGAACTGGCAAAGCCAAGGAGTTTCCTAAAATGCCAGGATTACAGGTGTGTACTACTACAGCTGGCTAAACGTCAGTTTTGAATTTAACACTTTTCCTCATTCTATACTGAGTAAAGTACGGCATATAATTCCCCAAGCTTACTCAGTATGTCTTATGTAAATCTGTATCATCTGATTGTTGCATAGTTCCAATTACCTAAAACAAAGTGCTCAAAAACTAGGTGTGAAATGGAACCAATCTGCAAAGAACATGGATTCACAATATGAGTAATGATGAGTAGGAAATGGGAGGGCTTCCTCTTACAAGAAGTTTTAGAATTGTGGAGACATTGAGAGGGTTTTTTTTCTTACAAATTAAAAAAAAAAAGAAAGCCTATTGACTACAAATCTTTTTAACTTCTGGGTTTAAAATAATAACTGTTGTTAAATATACATGTAGTGTATTTTCACAGTACATGAAAATGCCTAAGGTTTTCTTTATGCACCACAGCAACCACTGTCTTGATAAACTCAAGGGTTTTCAAGGACACACAATGGAAACAAGAAAAGATACACATACATATGCACACACATAGAGAGGGGAAATACGCATACAATCCTAATGTCATTACCTTGGGTCTACACTTAGGATATTCATGATCACCTGGGAGCACCTTGAAAGAAATTGGTACCCGATCAGCTCTCCGATTGGCACAGAAAGCATCCCAGACTGCTCGATGGACAGCATTGTAAACAACATCTAGGCCGGTAAGTGTAACAAAAGCCATGGGTCGACAACATAATTCCACAGGGAAGTCCCACTGTGTGGGGCTCATGTTTAAGGCGTCACGAAAAGTCTGAAATACAAATGACAATTCATTCACAGTTTCAAAAGCTAATATCTGTATCTAATATATGAATACTTAGTATTTAAGCAAATTATTATCTTCAGTAATATCTTAAAATGTATTCCAAGTTTTGAGATTAAGAGACCAAGAAAGTAGGAAGGGGACCAAATTAAAATAGGTGTGTATGACCTACTTTAACCATAAGTAATAAAAAAAATTGTTGACTTACATATACTAAAAAGTACAATATCCTCTAATTTTTTGTTGCTAACATTTAATTTCTCAATGTCTGAGATATTATTAAGAAATGCTTATCATCTAAGTAATAGCTATGTTTTCTCACTTTCCACAATACAAAATTACTTTTTAAAGGAAAACCTATAAGAGAAAACTAGTAACGAATGGAAACCTCTAGGACGTATTTCCACTGTGTCCTTTAGCTGGGTGCTGACTCTATAATAAATTCAAACGTGCACTTACTTTAGCAACGCAATTATATAAAAATGTGCTTCTTCCAAGCAAAATTATCATTATACTTTAAAAATTGTCATTTCCGAAAAGATATATCTTGAACGCCTTTCAATAGGTGATCTCCACCAATAAATTATACAGAACTCAAATATAATCCGTGTGAAAAATGAGGAGCACTGCACAGCACCAACTGAATCCTAAAATATGCATACCTATTAAGCGTCTTATATTTAAGTTCTAACGCAATAATGGGTACTGAATAAATGATTTGGAAAGCTGGCCAGAAATGATAAATGTCAAAAAAGTAAGATTAAGCTATGAGAGTAGAGAAAGAAATGCCCTAGTTCCAGGGAATTTGGGAATGAAAACAAAAAGAGGTGGTCAGATAATATAGGTGCCTTTGCTTAATACCAAAGAGTATACCCTAGAGATCTAAAGATCCATCCCTCTTAATAATCCCAGAAACTCAAAAGAAATAGCTGTAGCCTTTGAATATGGAGAGGAAACGGGGAACTAGCAATGACTTACAAAGCTTTAAATCAGGACCACTCAAGAGAAATATAGTATGGGCCACATCATTTGAAATTTCCTAGTCACATTAAAAAATAAAAGAAATGTGTGGAAATCATTTTAATAATACCCTAACACGGAATTTCTAAAAATGTTATCTAAACAATATAAAGTTATTAATGAAGTATTTTACGTTTTTGTACTAAGTCTTCAAAATCCAGTGTATATTTTACACTCACAGCACATCTCAATTCAGACAATCCATCTGAAGCACTCAACTCCCACTGGGACCACTGGCTGCTATTCTAGACAGTGGAGCTCTAAACCAAGGTACATCTGTTCCAGAATTACTGAGTGAAAATAGCGTCAGAAATTCCTGCCACTTCCTACTTTCAGAGCTTTGGCACTTGAAAAGGTCACGGTTATTCCACGGCAAAGGGCTGGGGACGGGGAGAACACCGGTAAAAGGCATCAGATGAATAGCTCTCTGCCAGCCGAGGGAGGAGAAATTTCCAGATCTCCTGGAAGACGCCAACGGAGCGGCTAACCAAAGCATGACGGAAGGACGTGCAAAAGGGGTAAGTGCACCTTCTGCATGGACGTCACATAGTGGGAGAGAAGTAATCTGGAAACTAGCACGAAGAGTATACAGAAGCCGACCCAATCAAAGTGGCAAGTAAAAAAGAATGTGGTCATTATTTTTAATTTACTGGAGTTCGGAGCTCAAGACCTTTAGTAAGAATGGGATTCAAGAGAAATCAGTCTATAAAAGGATCAAAACAAGAACGACAGTTTGGAGCCAAAATGTTGTGGGCGTGGAAGGGAGCTGATGTGGAGGATGTGAACCAAACCTGCGTAGGGAAAGACCCTGTCCCCAGGACCGCAGCGTTTACTCGGCCCTGGTAGCTACAAAGAGCAGAGGAGGAGCAACAACTTTGCAACCTTAAAGGCAGACGAAACCTTCCTCCTTCACTACCCCATCTCCTGGAAGGCCTTGGCAATGAACGTGTTTTTCTCTAAGGCTGAAGGAGAAGCGCCAGCACTGCGCTCTCGTTGACGCTTAGCAAAACGCAGGGCCTGGACCAACGCTGATAGGGACTAGGCCTCTTTTGCGGCGGTCTCGCCTGGTCCCGCAGACCTCTGGGCCCGGACTCACCCCGGACGCACGCCCTAGGCCCGCTGCAACTGCGGCCGGTGTCTGTCGGCGGAGGAGGAAGACAGGAAGCAGGCAGGAATGTCACAGAACGCCGGAGCGGGTCCCCGAGGCTGCTCCAGCTGGCCAGACTTCCTCTGCCCCACCTTCGCTGACACAGGAAGCACTTTTTGACTCTGAGTGACAGTGCTTTGCACCAATCGCAACCCGGAACTTTGCGCTGCTACTCAAAACGTAAGGAAAACGCTCCACTTCCTAGAGGTGAAAGAGCTGGGGGCGGAGAGAGAAGGAGCCAGTAGGAGAAGCCACACGCGGGAGGGGCGGAGCCTCCGCCGTTACCGCCCCGCCGCTTTCCCCGGGACTGGGGACTCGCCGTCTCAGTGGCCTGTGTGTCCTGGCCGCAGGCCCGCGGCGTCCGTCCCTGACTTCGCGCTGACTAGGGTCAGGGTGGCGCGTGATCTTGGCTCTGCCGCTACCAAAGAGGGTTGCGCCCCTGCCCGGCAACCGAGGCACGGAAAGGGGACGCCTGGCCTCCGGGCCCCTGTGCTCGCTCTCCCTTCGCAGTCCCGCGCGCGGTCGGCCTGGGCGGCGCCGGGCGAGATGAGCGCCAACGAGGACCAAGAGGTGAGCGCCCAGCCGCCCAGAGCCGGCTCCGCGGCGC